ACATACATACATACATACATACATACATACATACATACATACATACATATATATAGAGAGAGAGACATGTTGGACATGGCTGCCTGTCCTTAGTACGTTCCAGAGTTTTGATGTTTCGGCATCGCCTTCTGGAATTGTGGCCTTTGCTCGTGTATTCCCCCCAGAGCACACAAAACCCTCGAGATCCAAATCACACATCATTGACAGTTGCTGACATTGCTTGTGCCAGGGAAAAACATGGAAACACCCTGTTCAGCAGGTCCTTCTTGGCCTCGCAGCCCATGCGCCGTCAGCTCTTGACATTGGTGTCTTCAGTCACCGGTGCCCCCACGGGCGAGGCGGTCCTGGCAAAGGCCCTGGACCGCACGGTGCCGTGGCCGAAATGGCAGGCGCGGCCGGATCGAGGGATGCAGGAGTTAGAGGAGCCCTACCAATCCGGCGACTGGTGGGAAGTTGATCCAACTATGTTTTAAGCTGCAACCATGTCGTGGGCATGGCATGTGGTGCTCATTTTTGGGGCTTAGAACACTTGGACAATACTGTCGCGCCTCCCAAGTGTAGACAAAACTTTGGACATGAACACCGTGGCACTTTTAGTGACAGGATGGCTTGATGATCCTTCAGCACTGCGGCGTTGCTGTGCATGAGGAACGTCGAGCTATGCAGATTGCCCTTCGAAGCGGGCCAGTGAAGGCAGATTTGTTGGAACCAATGTTCTTCCCTCAGCACGGGGGGAACAGAATGAATTTAACAAGATAAAGAGAAGCGAATCAGGAGGCAGCATGCTGCTTGTGTTTGGGTGCTGTTTTGCGGCCCACTCAACGGACTTTCCAACGGGGCTTTGAGAAGTCTAGGCTTTTGAAGTTCCTCATTATTGCCCACAACATCCCCAAACTGCACTTGGTTCAGGCGGTGAAGTGGCTCTTGCGAGCACGAGCTGATGCGGAGAAACCAGTGGAAGCTGACTTGACCCCGCTTCGCTTGGCCGCACGCTTTGGAAACGATGAGGTCGGGGACAGGTCGGTTCTCAGGAGTGCCCACGCAGGAAACCAGGCACAGTGGAATGTATCATTTGAGATCATTTGAGATCATTGCCAGCTACCCTCAAATCCCGTGCGTGGTAGTGCCGGGACAGCAAAACTCATGGAGAGACATCCATTGGAAATAGCATTCTAGACCAAAGATGGGGACCAGCCCTCGTCAATCTATGACCTTGTGCAATCTTGGATTGTTTTGGGTCTCAACACGAGGCTGTGTTGGGGATGCAGAGCCCAGAGGTTTTAGGACAGTTGTTTTTATTCCCCAATAGCGATAGCTTGCGGTTGTGCACTCTTTACGCGGCTGGGCGCTGTCGTTTCCGCGGACCCCGGCCTGGCCTGGGCGGTGGAGTCCCGTCGTCTCGGTCATGCTTAGGAAGTTTAGGAGTTTAGGTGGTGTCTCAGTCATGTCTTGGTAGTGCCTGAGTCATGTTTATGTGGTGTCTCGGTCCTCTGCTTAGGTGGTGTCTCGGTCATGTTTCGGCGGTATCTTGCTCATGTTCGGGTGGTGTGCCGGCTGTGTTTTGGTGTCTTTTTGACATGTTTTGCCGTTTTGGTGGTGTATCGGTTCTGTTTTGGCGGTGGTTTGCCGATGTCTTGATGGTGTCTCGCTTATGTTGTGTTTGTGTCTTGGTCTGAGTCTTTGTGCGTGTATGAACTGTGGGCTTGCATGTCCACACGCCTGATGCACATTGCATTAAGCATCGTCTTGCACGTGAACGTATCAATTTTGCGTCGACATGTAAGGACATTGCTGCGCTTGAGAAGCGCATCCCTTCTGGTTTTGTTTTTGTATAAAGCCCGACTTGGCGGGGAGAGGTATCAAAAAAAAATAGGGATCAATAAAGACATAAATAGGGATCAATAACAAAACAAATAGGGATCAATAAAAAAATAAGCAGAGATCAAGACAACAACAAGCAGGGATAAAAAGAAGCAATAGAGAAGAGAGAAAAGAAAGAAAGAAAGAAAGAAAGAGAGAAGGAAGGAAGGAAGGAAGGAAGGAAGGAAGGAAGGAAGGAAAGAAAAAAAGACAGACATATGAGCCATTCCCATGTAAATATACCTGCCTTCGACTACTACTACTACTACTGCTGCTGCTGCTACTACTACTGCCACTACTACTACTGCTACTACCTACTACCTACTACCAACTACCAACTACCTGTTACCTACTACCTACTACCTTCTACTTACTACTACTATCTACTACTACTACTACTACCACCACCACCACTACTACTACTACTACTACTACTACGACTACTACCACTACTACCACTACCACTACCACTACCACTACTACTACGACTACAACGACGACGACGACAACGACGACAACGACGACGACGGTCACTACTACTGTTGCCACTGCACACATTACTGTTCTTTCTTTGTTGATTCTTATTTGTTTTGTTTTTGATCCTCGTCTGTCAATTGTTTTTGTTACTACGTCACCAGATTTTGTTTTTTTGTTGATCTTTATTAATTTTTCTTTTGATCTCATTGCTTTATTATGTTTTTGATCCTTATTTATTTTTTTTGATCCTTCACCCGACTTGGCGAGTAAATACGCGGTCTGCTTAAGTAGATATTTATTGTGTTTTTGCCACGTTTGAACGAGATGAGTACTTGTAACTCTCTATGTAAGAACTACTCGCTGGCATGTCCAAACGCCTATCTTCCGCGGTGCCAATACTTAAACTGTGCTCCCTTTGCTACCTGTCGTTGCACCTGTCGTTAGCATCTTTTTCCCTTGAAAGTGCATTGTTTTTTCGTTTATCCTGTGAACCGTCTCATTCTTTGCCTGTGTGGATATCGTGTACGCCCATGTCTAACTCCTCTCGGTACAACTTTTTTGGTATAGGCACTTGAATTCTTTTGGTGAGTATGTTTCTCGGATGCAATAACGGCGCGCAGGCACTTGAACATAAATTTCGGCCACCGGCGGAGATTCCTTAGGCGCTACGTGGTCTATGAAAGTTTACACGTTTGGATAGTGAACTTGTTCTTGGAACTTGTGGTCAACATTTTTGTGATTGCATTTCAACAGTTTTGGTGTTGGTGGATTTTAAAACTGCTTGCTTGACACTGCCTTTCTTGTATCGCTCGTGTATAAGTCATGCGCTGGCGCATGTAGATGCGTTTGCTGCTTCGATGTATATATATATATATATTTCGTACTACTGTTGTAAAACATCTTTGATTTAATGATTCGCTTGATTTGCGTGCTTTTGTATAAACTATGCCCTTGCATGTCCAAAGGTGTATCTTCCCTGGTGCCAATACTTACGTAAAGTATGTCTTTTTGTGATCTGATTTTAGCACCCCCTTTCGTGTAGACATGGTGTGCTCCGGATCAATACATACTCGGTAAACATTTTCCTGTCACTTGTATGAGCTTATATCCCGATTCTCTGCCCGGGTAGGGCTTGTGTACCTGGATATGTAAACATACACACACCCTTTCCTTGGTGCGAACCTTTTGTTGTGCTGTGTTGAATTGGTTCTGCAGATGTAAAGACCATGCGCAGGCACTTGAACAATTCGGCCATCTGCGAGCAATCCTTCAGAGCTTCTGTAGTCAATGGAAAATACATGAAAATACATTCTGCTTAGATATTGAGCTTGTTTGTGTAACTTTGTGTCAAATTTTTGCGGTGGCATTTCAATACATGCAGATATATATATATATATACTGGGTCCTGAGGACTAAGAGTTAACGGAGATACCTCAAAATTACAGCGTTCCAAGTCATCAGGCAAAGTAAGTTTGGTAGAAAGCACCTTTGGCCTAAGTCATCAGGGAGAATATTGCAGAACAGGACTTCTAGAGCAGGTTTGAAAAACACCTAAAAACGATGAAAACAAGGATTTTCAGGAAAATGACTAAGGACTTGTGCTGGAAACCTGTGTTTAAACCCCCTGTGTCATGTGAAAATTTCCTGCCATTGGCAGCAGTGGCAGGGTCAGCTCCAAGAGCTAAAGGCATTTTTGTGAGTGATGGTCAGGAAGTGCCAGGGTGCAGAGTCTTTTGGTCTGAAACCTTTTTTTTTGTTCACCTATATAGATGCTTTAAGACTGAGACAGAGACAGAAAGAAAGAAACAGAGAGAGAGAGAGAGAGAGAGAGACCGTGGATTCTTGACACCCTGGTGTGCCAGGGTGCGCCGTCCATGCCCCGGGCTGCTCATGGTCCAAACTTGGCTTCACCACCCCACGTTCATCAAGTCTTGGTGTGGAGGTCAAGCATCCTCCGTGTTCATCAACCTTTGGGGGATACCTTGAGTTTGTCTTGCGAAGCAAGTGTTGGCTCCTCCGGGTCGAATAATTGATTGCTCAATTCAACCTCCCCTCCTTGGAATTAATTTTCAATACAGACCCACCGACAAACATATGTAATATATGGATATATATACTGGGGTCTAGTCACTTAGGACCTACGGGTCTAGTGACATAGTCGGCTGGGATAGCCACCTCCTGAGTCATGTGCCTGGTCAAAAGGCGTGCTTACATGCGCTTACCCCCCCTGAGGGAGCAATCAAAAAAATAGAAAAAACTATATGGTGAAATCAATGTGTGAGAGAGAAATCACATGCATCATGACATGGGCAGTTGGCACCTTTTTCAACAACCCTTTGTTCCTATGTCATCTTGCACGGTCGTGGCGTATTTTTGGCCACCTTTCCTAAGTCATGGGATCATGGGACTTCGAGCTTTGGGATGCAAACGCGTAATTTACACACTGTTTAACAATAAGCAGAAAAAGTACATGCAAGCAGCGGATGCATGCACAGGTGCCAACGCATGATTTATACAGGAACGATGCGATGCAAGAAACGCAGCGTCAGGCAAGCAATCTTTACATGCCGAAAACCACTTCCCAAACGTGTATCTTCAGGGTGCCAGAACTCCAAGGATGGTCCATCTGACAACTGCATTCATTGTGCCCGTGTCGCAAATTATGTGCCTGTCCTTCAATACATTTTCTTCTCTTTTGGTGAACATATGTTCCAGTCATTTGTAATAAAAGTGTTTTTTGTCCGAACAGAATTTGCGCGTAGAACGCGTCTCATTGGCTCTATTGGCGCGTGTCTTTTGTTGTGTTGAGCCGAAATGGTTCTGCAGACGAATGCGCCGTGCGCAGACACGTGGATGGTGGAAGATAGAATTCGGCCATCGGCGAACATTTCTTAATGGTCTATGGAACTTACACATTTTGCTTGGATATTTAATTTGTTTGTGTAACTTCTTTGTGTTTACAATATGTCCTTGATATATGCAATATACCATATGTGAAAAAAAAACAGCGCCACGAACAACGCACGCACAAGAATGTGCCCGATTTTGGTGGATGGTTTGCTCTTGGGGTTGTCAGCTGGGTTAACTATTTAGAGTTGCTGTTCCTTTCCCAAGCTCAGCCAGGTCGTTGACACACTGTTGGAATCAAGGGCGCAAGCCAACACCAGAGGGCGCTTTGGCTACACAGCCTTGATGGTTGCCGCAATGTATGGCCACGCTGACATTGTACAGCTTCTTCTCAGCAACTCAGCTCGAACTGTTTGTGTGCAACTTCTTCACAGGTTTGTAAATCGCTGCCGCTGAAGCAGATTCTGCAGGCGTCGACTTTTTTCTTTGGATTCGGCAAGGACCTGATATTGCTTTGTCTGCCCGTGTCTTTCCAAGGTCGAGGAGCACAGGTCAACACCAACGGAGATGGCGAGACAGCGATTGACTTAGCCTCCCGGTATCCAGAGGTGGCCGAAATGCTCCAAGCGCACGTCGACGCCTATGGTTGGACTGGCAGTGCTGACGAGAAAAGGGCGACAGCGGACTTTGCCTGGGCAACCGGACCTTCCTGTTGCAAGGAACCACGGGATTCTCCCTGCTCTGAATGATGGGATTGGTTTGTGGATATCTTGCGTTTTTGATAACCACGCTGTGAATAGGTGCAAACTATTTGGACATGATGAGCCAACTGCACAGATTTGCTCAAACGCCGCAGATTGGTGGCATATTAGCTTAGCTTGCAGGTGGTTTGTGCACTGGTGATTCTGGCCAATGGGATCTACATTTGCATCCATTCAGATTGGAAGATGATGACACTTGGAGGAAATTCACAGTTTTGAACAGGCAAGCGGCAACGGGATGATGATGATGATGATGATGATGAAGGGCCGCGAGTGGATCAAACGCGCCGCTGCTCCCATGGAGCGGCCATCCAGCACCTCCTGATCTGGCGCTCCAGTTTTTGATCACCTCCCGGAAGCACGGCGGCCGCTGCTGAGCCTCTCCTGTGGCTGCTAGCTAGCACCTGGTGGCTGTGCGCTTTTGGCTCCTCGGCTGGGCGCCGGTCTTGGTGGGAGGGGAACATCGTGAAGTACATCCCCTTTGCTTCCTGTTCCTGACAACGATCCTGGAGGTCAAGAATACGTTGATTTCTTTTTGCTACATTTTGGTTCATGATCCCTCTTCTGGGTCCCAAACCCCAGAACAGCAGGCGAGAAAGAATCTTGATTGGTGGCACCTTCCTTTGGATTTGCCTCTTCATGTCCAACTTTCAGTTCAATCCACACGCTCCCTGCTGGCGGCCCGAGGGTTCCAACTCCGCCATCAGAGTTGGAGGAGTCCTCAATCCTAACATCTCCCATAGTCCAACACGATGGACGAAGCAAGATGGCCATGACCCTATTCGAGTTCAGGCACATCAAAAGAACGACCCACATCGGGTACTCAGGAAGAAGGCTTTCATCAAGGCAGTAAAGAGGGCCACTCTACATGGAGTCACTTGGTACAGAGGTCAATTTCTGACCGCATCACAGCTTGGAATTCCGGTACACGAGTGGCCCCGACAGACCACTATCACTGACCAGATCCACATGCAGCCCTCGAAGACACATCAGTACCCTCCCAATCGGAAGCCCTCTGGAAAGTTTCGACAGGGGAGGATGTCCTTTTTCACCTGGAACATTGGGCAACTCAGCATGACCAAATGGGACATGTTCAGAGCATGGATGCACCATCAATCGATTGACTGCGCGTGCCTGCAGGACACTGGATGGACTTTTACAGGAGAATGGCAGGACAATCAATTTGCATATATACATTCAGGAGCCACATTCCGCCGAGGTGGGCTGCTCACCATGATTCGCCTGGGTTTTTGTTCAATTGACAACATTTCTTGGGCCACACCACTGGAGAGCCGCATACAACATGTGCGCCTGTACATGTATACATATAGCATTGACATCCTGAACCTGTACCAACATCCGTGGAACCCTGCGGACAATGAGAGTAGTTCTCAGAGAGCCCAGTTTTGGACCCGTATGCATCAAACGATCAAGAAGCTGCCCAAACGAAATTGTTGGATCTTTGGTGGGGACCTCAACACCAGCCTTCGACACCAAGCTCACTGTGTTGGATTGAGTGACTTTGCCACAAAAACTGGAAGGCACACCGGCACCAAACATCCTGATACACAAGTACTGCAACAAATGTTAAAGGACCTTTCCTTGGTGGCGCTCAACACATGGAAACCAGAGCTTGGGGCTACATACAGAGGCCCTCGCCAAGTCTCCTCCCGCATCGACTTTGTCTTTGTTCAGCAAAGGGATGGGGACACGAAATCCAAACAAGTTTGTTATCTTCAGGACTTACCGAAGATGATGGGCCTGCATGAGGACCACCAACCGATTTTGTGTGGTATTCCATGGAAAAGATTCTATCCACCGGCAAGCACTACGGGCTTAACCAGGTCTCAGAGGCTGACCTTGCAAAACCACTGGGAAAATAACACTACTGACTGGCAACAATTTGTTCTTCATCTTCAAAGTGAGATTTCTCTGGAGATGCCTGAGACGCCAGACCTTACAAAGCTCAACGAGACTCTCCTCCAAGCCTGTCGGACGTTTCGACCATCAGCCCAACCTGCCAAGGAACCAACTGCACAAAAGTGGACATGGGCGCTCAATGCCGCTCCGGCTCCTTCCTGGCGGCCCTCTGGCACCTCACTTTTGCTGGATTTGTTTCAGGGATGGAAGTGGGTACATGATCGAACACGGTGGAGGAAATCAACACGAAAGATTGCCATGAACCATCGACGTGATTGGGTGCAAAACATCATTGATCAAGCTACTCTGTACTGGGCCAACAATCAGACTCATCACTATTTCCATACGATCCACCGGCTGACTCCCAAGTCTTTCTCACAACGACCTCATCTTCGGGATACTCAGGGTCACCTTCTTTCTCCGGTTGAGGAAATTTCGCTGTTGGAACAGTACATGCTCTCTCTCTACAAGGCAACGCCTGTTGACTTTCCGGGTTTTGCACTTGAGAACTCTCCAGTGATGGCTGATGACCTGGCACATGAGTTGAACCATATGGAGGGAAGAAAGGCAGTCCCTGCCCATGTTGCACCAAGCTTTGTGTGGAAATCCCTCTCTGGACCGATCAGCACTCCCCTGGAAGGATGGTGCCATCACTGGTTCCGACAGGGGCACATACCAGAAGAATGGCGCAGCGGCTGGATAGTCTTCCTGACGAAGCCCACAAAGGCGCCAAACAAACCGAACGCCCTCCGACCCATTGCACTTCAAACACCGCTGGCCAAAAGCATCATGTCCCTCTTCGTAACAGCTGCAAGGGCCCATGCCCTACCAATGTTATGCATGTTTCCACAATTTGCCTATCTTCCAGGTAGAGGTACATGGGATGCAATATGTCGAGTCTACTCACATGTTCGGGAGGTGGCTTCAATGACAGAACGATGGAGATACAATGCAAGCCGCAGTGAACTGAACGCTGAGGGGCCTCGACCCATGCTGTACGGAGGATGCCAATTTTTTTTGGATCTCACACAAGCCTTCGATCACATGCCTCGGTCTTCTCTGATGCAGGCTTTTGACTTGTTGCAGATTCCATCACATGTGGCCAACGTTCTGTTACAGTGGCATGTTGATACCAAATACATCTTGATGTACAAAGGTCAGACATGCACAGTACCCACATACAAGGGTGTGAGACAAGGCTGTCGTGGCGCTCCATTCTTTTGGGCCTCTTTTGTGGCCTTGATTCTCAACGAGGTGGCTAATACAACCTCGGTTGAATGGATGAACACCTTCTGCACGTTCTATGCTGATGACGGTCATCTCTGTTTCAAGTTCACCAGCTTGGCTGAGTTCCAACAGGGACTTCAATATATGGGAACAGTCCTTGATACTCTGACCCAATTTGGAATGACTGTCAACCTCACCAAGTCCGCTATACTGCTGGAGCTAAGAGGAAAGCATAAAAAGAAGGCTCAACAGCTGTACCTTCGACGTCGATCACATCAGCAGGTTCTTCAAATTGCTGGACTTCACCAAACCTATGACATTCCCCTCAAGACTTCACAGGATTATCTTGGAGTGAAGATCAGCTATGCACAGACACCTCTGTTGACCATGAGACACAGATTGACCGCATGCAACCTGAGATTCAAACAAATGCTGCCATGGTTCAAGCGGGGGAATAGGATTTCCATGTTGCAGAAACATGAGCTCTGGTACACATGCCTGTTCCCGGTATCCTCATATGGTATTGACGCCATTGGAGTGACTGAAGGAACGTTGAACATGTTACATAAACAGCTGTTGCGGCAACTTCGACAACTTGGAGGGGATCATTCCTATTTGACCCATAATTCTCATCGAGCATTCCTGAGCGCCCATGGACTTGAGCATCCAATCCGTGCTCTGCATTGCCGCTTGATCTCTCAACTGGAACGTTGGGAGGAGAGAAGGAACACGTTGCCACAACATGATATTCTGCATTCCATCAATGCCACACACCTGAGTCAATCGGTGGAAATCACGCACCAATGGCTGCAGGACTTCATGGCCCAGCCCGAGGAGGATATCCATTACCACCTGGCAGAGGCTGGTATGGAGTGCAACATATGTGGTAAACAGTTCCAACAACAACACACCTATCGACGACACCTTGTCCATGAACATGGTATTGCGGTTTTGCAGGGTCCAGAGTTGAACATTGCACGAGACACCATAGATGGACGTCCAACTTGTAGACACTGCGGTGTAGCGTTCATCAGTTGGCAAAATATGCGCTACCACATCCAATCCAGCTCCTGTCCTGGCATGAATTGCACCAAGGCTCCGCCTTTGATCTTGCAACAACACCGCCGTCGGCTGCTTGATATCTATGATGCTGGTGACCTTCAGCTGCTGAAAGAGGATGGCAATCTCTGCACCTTCCTCACCCACAGGTGTGTCCTTTGTGGCTACTGGGCTGCACGCACTCAGCAGATGAGTGCTCATGTTGGGCGGGATCACCCGGATGCCTCAGCCCTTATCAACAAGGTCATGCCCAACGTCACACGAGCACGTGTTCAATCTCCATGTGAATACTGCAAAAAGGACTTCAAGTCGAAGACACACACCTGTGCAGTAATGAAGCAGTTGGGCCTGGCACTTGGAGACCGCAGATTTAGACATGAACATCCAGAGGCACCAGATCCGCCTACAATGGCTGATCATAGATCTCAGGCCCAGTATCAGTGCACCTCTTGTGACTGTCAATTTGCCACGGCTGCTGGGCTTCATCAGCACTTGAGTATGCAACACCCACATACCACAGTTCAGACGACTTTCCAGCCTCTCCGTGATCAGGTCCCTGGAGAAATGAAGTGCAGTCACTGTGACCGGTCCTTCTCGACACTGAAGGCCTTGAAACTCCACATCATTGGCAATCAATGTGACACCTTCATCCAGGACACGGCTGAGGTACCATATCTCTGGCATCATCCGGTGATCTTGGCTGGACTCAGCGGTGGGACGTTTGATCATTTGATGGGGTACAAAAGTCTGGTTAGGCGACTGGGCCTCCGTTGTGGAATTTG